AACATAAGTTAATTTATTCTGTAGATATACAGGGGAATATCCAATTTTGATTTTAAAAATAAAAATTAGTGTTTGCTACTCGAAGAGTTTCCTCACTGATAGCCATTGAAGGGTTTGCAACATATTTGCTATGGGTGTTATCCTCGAACATTGTAAGATTATTCGCATAGCACGATTCTGCATCTTTTGTAATCTGTTTATTTCATTTTAATTGAGAAAGAACAGAATGGTAGAACAATAATTCAAATGTGGAAGGATTATGGAGTTGTAGACTAATAAGACTTAACATTATTTGTCAGCAACCAATCGACTATATCGTCAGATTTTTTAATTTCGTCCAACTTATTCATAATAAATGGAAAAAAAAAACTTACCGAAAAGTTACAACCTGAAAACACCTTGAAATTAAATGAAAACACTTTAAAAACACATTAAAAATATTACCAAAAAGCACTGCTATATAATACAATACTGCCTGTTTTTTACACAAATAACAAATATTATCAAGTAACTCTAAAACGATTTACCGAAATATTTTTCAGTCCCGGTCCGTCGTACACCAACTAAGACCAACTGGAGGCTAGCCTCCTCTAACGCTATAATTTCTGTAACTAAAATTACAAATCGGGACGTATGTCGCTGGCTGGATCGGTCTCGCGGAGCTTGTGTTTTCAAAGCGGTCGGAGGCTTGGCTCCCTTGCAACGTATCAACGTATGGCATTTATTATTTCTGGTTGATGGTTTCTTCGTTATTCGTTCGTGGGCGGTGCGTTTGAAGTTTGTTGATGCAGGATACAGTGCGGTAGGAACTACGATGTGAGTGATAGTGTTTTTTCGGGCATATTATGTATTCATATTGAAAATCAATGGTAAAGTAATGATACCAAGCATTTCTTTTATATAGTCATAATTATTTGTCAATATCTTTTAATTTATTGCGATGAATAGCCTCAGATCTTTGGAGTGTTGTACTCGTGTATGGAGCTCCGCTCCTAAGCATATCCAGAAAAGAGTCATCTGCCTGATTGGCGACTCGATTTTCCTGTAGTGCTTGTTTATTGTCCCTAAAAAAATTGGTATTATGTTCAAATACATCTACCTTACTCAACTTTTCCACAACGTTTACTTTTGAAATATTCAATTTCTTCATTTTTTCATGAATCAAACTTCTCCATTCCTCCGGGTAACTTTTTCATTCCATCGTTCTTATCTTCAATTTCAGCGGTCCACAATAGTTGCTATGAATGAGCGAATCACATGACAGCAATACAAAACAATAATAAATAATCCAACGGTATATTCACAGTTTGGTGAGCACTCATTATTTATTACTTCGAAACCAGATTGTGCGGCTGTCTGTCACATTTCTCTTATGGTTGAGGCAGATCAGAGTGTTTGATAGTCGAAGGGCTAACGTTTATCAATGATTTGAAGATATAAGAAATTCTACAGAACTAACTCATAGTCTGCTATGATGTACTGTCGACTTATACTGAAAAAGTATCAACAGCGAATGCAGGCAATAGTTCGATATATTTATGACGGAATCAACATGAAAAACTTTGTTGTAAGAGTTTTTGAATTATTTTTCAATCCGTTATGTAGAACTAACATATCGTTAATAATATGACTGCTTACTTTCAGTGAATTTCTTACGTAATGAATCGATGAACAATCAAACTTTGAAATGAGATCAAAAAGGACAGTTTTTTCAACATTTATTTCAAATAATCTTTTTTAATAATTTATTTCAAATAATCTCTTTGTATATAATAAACTCAATAGACTTCTTGTCATGGTATTTTTTAATGGGAGTGTCATGTGGAGAAATCAATGGATTCTTTCGTAGTCGAAGATCATCCTGCCTTGGATATTACTTGTATACTTGAGACAAAGGCTAACTACAAAAATAAACTGCATTCCTGTTTCCAGAATAATTACAATTTCAACAGAGCCAACTATCCACAACTGTATAATCAAATATCTCATATTGACTGGACCTTCTTGAAAGTTCTTGATAACTCAGGAGATGCATCCACATATTTCTATGAAAAACTTTATAATGTTTTAGATCGCTGATGTCCCAAGTATACAGTTAAATCCAAAAATAAATATCCTCCTTGGTATAATAGAAGCATTATTAGAGATTTGCAGACTAAAAGCAGAATCTGGCGCAAATACAAGCGTGAATATAATCTGCAGGCCCTTGAAGATTTCAAAGATCTTCGGGCAAAATCAAAGCATGATGTTGATGTGGCATACAAAAAATTCTTAGGTGAAACTGAAGAATAAATACATATCAATCCCAACAGATTTTGGTCATTTATAAATAATAAACGAGGTAGCTCTAAAACATCACAACTACTGAATTTTGAAGGTCAATTGCTGGAGGGGCCCTTTAATATCGTAAACGGTTTTGCCAGTCTTTTCAAACAATCGTATACCGTTTCTCTCCCTTTTAAACCAAACTCTGATATTGATAATAATCACTCACTTGATATATCAAGCTTCAATGAAAACGAAGTATACGAGGCACTTAGGTCGCTCAAACCTAAAAAGACCACTGGTCCAGGTGACATTCCAGCATTCATTCTAAAAGATTGTGCACTTGTGCTTGCTCCTCCTCTATCAATACTAATTAATATCTGCTAAGATCGGCTACAATACCAAGGATCTGAAAATCATCAAAAGTCTGTCCCATTTTCAAGAAAGGAGATAGACAAGATATTTCAAACTATCGGCATATCTCTATTATTTGCAAAGGATTTTGAGATTCTGCTGGAGCGAGTTATATATTGGCATGTAAGTTGCAATATAAGTATAATCCAACACGGTTTTATGAAAAATCGTTCAACGGTTACCAATCTTCTGACTATAAACCAACATATTGCTGAATCTATTGACAGTAGGGCCCAAACTGATGTTATTCACACAGACTTTTCTAAGACCTTCTACCGGCTTGACCATGGCATTCTACTAAACAAACTAGTAGCCTTTGGATTGTCTCTATCCTTAATCGCACTCTTTCAGTCCTATCTACGGGATCGAAAACAATATGTTTAGCTCAATGGTTTCAAATCTATCGAATAAAGTGCTTCTTTCGGTGTTCCACACGGGTCAAATCTGGGACCGTTGCTCTTCAATATCTTCATTAATGATATTGCAGATGTAATAGATGTGTATTTCCTTTTATATGCCGATGATCTAAAACTATACTGCCTCGTTGAGAATATAGATGATTGTGTTAACTTCTCAGCAAACGTAGGACAGGTTGTAGAATGGTGTTATCGAAATAACTTGTCGCTAAACCTGGATAAATGTAAGGTCATGTCCTACAGCTTGAAAAAGAACATCTTGATCTTTGATTATTCAATAGAAAACGTTTCCCTGGTGAGACCAGAAACATTTACTGATCTTAGCGCCACATTTGACACTGCACTATCATTTAACAGGCATATCGAAAATGTTGTAACCTCCTCCTGTCGTTTGTACGGATTAATTGCACTTAACAGTTGTGATATCAAAGAAACTTCGACCTTAAAAACTTTATTCTATGCTTTCATAAGATCAAAGTTAGAATACGCGTCAGTTGTGTGGAGCCCCTTTTATCAATATCGCATTGATAGAATAGAAGCAATTCAACGACGATTTTTAAAACTGTCAAGCCTAAAAAGCGATGGCATTTATCCTCCAATAGGAACAACCCATTCTGAATTGCTACAAAAGCATAACGTTTTCAGTCTCGAAAAAAGGCGTGAATATTATAGTGTTGTACTAACCTGTAAAATTATGAAAAGCATAGTTGACTGCCCAACATTACTGGAAAAGTTTATTATTCACATTCCTAGAATCTGTTCCAGACACCCGAGTACTTTCTATATAAAAACATCACGCACAAATGTTCTGGAGAATTCTCCGATCCATACCATGTGTAAAGTGACAAACTCTGTTAGCGATAATTTAGATATATTTATTTGTAGTGTCAAATATAAAATCCCACTTCCTAAAATAATTGTTTTGTCACCTATAATGAATATAAAATGCGTAGTCCTTATAGTCACTTGTTTGTATTGTTTGTAGTGTTTGTAGACTTTACAGTAACTTGTTTGTGATCTTTTCAAAAATCTGTTCAAAATCTGTTTTTCCGTGTGTTTATACTCTATTATTACCTGCTCTGTAATTGGGTCATGTCCTGTAGAGTATTGTATAACAAATAAATAAATAAGTAACCTAGATTGAGCGAGAAGTTACGTCTATAATTTACTTCCAATCAATATACAAAATAATTCTCAAAAAATAATGAAAGAATGGAGAAGATAAAATAGATATTTTCACTTCCTATAAGCGGACGTAATATCGAAGTATTCAAAGTGCAGGGAAAAAAAAGGTCACGATTCATAAATATTCCCGAATACTCCACACTTTTCAAATAAATCGCACTTCTATCAATCAATCAATTTTAAACAATTTATCATGGATGAAAATTACTCAATTGTTGTCTGGCTCCCCGACTATAACATTTAACGGCTTTATAAAATGTTAAGTCACTCATAGACCAGCTCAACCTTTTACTCACTGTTTAGTGTAATTTTTTGCCGTCCACAGAATTGTTATAAGTGAAATTTTTAATATTTCATGTGGTTGTCAAATTATGCGTTAAGCACGCTTCGAAAGATATGAGTGTTATTAGAACTGAACCACAGATTCAGTTGAATAAGCATTTAGTACTATGGATTATGGATTATTTTCGTGGCTTTATCGTAAAATATTCTTTTTATGAAAATCTATGAAATAATACAGTTTGGAACACCCTGCATAAAATAATTCAGTAATTAAAACTAGTATTCAAAATTTCAGCAAATTCATCATTCCTATCTGAAAAATATGCCTCTTACCTCCTGTAAGCTGAACGCAGTGTCAACTGCCACATATCGAGACTTATTTTCGTAACCTCAGAAAATTTTCAGTCTCAAATTCTTAATATTTTGTTTTTGTTTCAGAAATCCATCCAAAATGAGTGAGCGAAGAGGAACAAAGGGTTTGGAACTCTGGTGCAAAAAAATGACAGAGGGCTATCCCGGTGTCAAAATCGACAACATGACAACATCTTGGAGAGACGGACTTGCCTTTTGTGCTATTATACATCACTTCAGACCTGACCTCATGTAAGTAATTTATTTTATAAATTTGTTCTTGGGTTCCTAAAAAATAAGGGGTGAAATTAAACAATCTCAGAAAAATATCCAAAGAACATATAGGAGGTTGAAATACTCATACACATAAAATTCTGTGTGAAAAATGGAATTACGTCCTCAAAATACTCGAAATGTTGGCAGTGGCATACGGTGATTGTACACTGATTCAGGCCGACAAGATGTGAATAACGACCCTCGCCCTGGACGCCTCAGCACATCAACAACTGATGAAAATGTTAAGTAAGCGGAGAATCTCGAATCACTATTAGAGAAGATGCTGAGGGTGTCGGCATATCGGTTGATTCATGCCACGCACTTTTTTACTACACGCATGTAGCTTGATTGACTGACTGATGACTGAGTGACTGACTAACTCACTGGCGGACTCACTGTGACTGACTAGCTGACCGTTCCACTGACTGATAATTGATTGACTGACTGGTGGCTGACTGACTCATTGGCTGACTGACTCACGGATTTATGACTGACTGACTCAATGCTTGATGACTGACTGACTCACTGGGTAATAAATAATGACCAATTCACTGATTGACTGACTCCCTGGTTAATGACTCTCTGAGTGACAGGCTCACTAATTGACTCGAATTGTTGATGACTGACTGACTCTGAATGGTTCACTGACTGACTCACCGGCTCACTGGTTGGTGACTGAGTGACTCACTGAATGATTCACCGACTGACTGACTCACTAACTGACTCACTGGCTGACGATGTAGATTATTGTCCATCAAAATTTAATCTGCAGAACAAATTGCCATTACAAAAATCATTTTCAATTTTCCAGTAATAATTGACATTTGAAGATTTAATAATTTTCACAGAAATTATTTCATTCTGAAATTTGATAATCAAAATTTCTGCTGAAGAAGTTTGATGTTGAAAATAAATATTTTTTTAAGTAATTGTTATCAAATTGCTAAGCATTTTTCTATACAACAAACACCATGGTTTTGACAAAGTATTTTCGAGAGAAAATAACATCTTGACAAAAAAATTCAGTGTTTCATTCGAAAATTTCGAAAAAAGTGTTTTCCAATTTCGATTCACCCAGTATATCTTCATAACAAAACAGACTGTCCAAATGAGTTTTCATTGACAATGGTCGACCACATGGTCGTACGGTCAACAAGAAGTACTATCTTGAAGATATGCGCCGCTTACGAGTAGCCATACGAAGAAACTCGTCCGGTATTGTGGGAAAACAACTCATGGCTTTTGCATCACGATAATGCACTTGCTCACTCGTTATTGCTTGTTCGTAATTGTTTTGCCAAAAACAATACCTCAATGATTCCTCAGCCAACGTATTCACCAGATTTGGCCCCTGCGACTTTATCCTGTTCTAAAGATTGAAGAGAACAATGAAAGGCCGGCGTTTTGAGACGAATAAGGACATAAATATCGGTACGCTGAGAGAACTAATGGACCAAGTAATGTTCCAATCAGCTTTTGTCACACCAGAAATCTCAGTTACTGTCTGATTGACTGACTGATGACAAACTCACCGGCCGAACGACTGTTGACTGACTGATTGACTCACTGACCGACCGATCCACCGACTGCTGACTGACTGACTGACTCACTGTGACTGACTCACTGACTGACTGACTCTCTGGTTAATGGCTGACTGACTCACTGGTTGATGACTGATGACTGACTCACTGGCTGACTGATGACTCACTGGTTGATGACTGATGATCGACAGACTCACTGACTGACCGACCCACTGGTTGATGACTGATTGACTCACTGGGTAATAACTGATGATCAACTCACTAACTAACTGGCTCACTAGCTGACTCGAATGGTTTGATGACTGTGTGACTCTGAATGGTTCACTGACTGACTTACCGACTGGCTCACTTGTTGGTGACTGACTGACGCACTGGTTGATGACTGATTACTAACTCACTGGCTGACTGATGACTCACTGGTTGATGACTGATGATCGAAAGACTCACTGACTGACCGACCCACTGGGTTAATGACTGATTGACTCACTGGGTAATAACTAATGATCAACTCACTAACTGACTGGCTCACTAGCTGACTCGAATGGTTGATGACTGGCTCACTGGTTAGTGACTAACTGACTCACTGAATTGCTAACCGACTGACTGAGTCACTGACTCACTGGCTGGCGATGTAGAATATTTTTCCATAAAAATCCCCAATTTTCTCAAAATTGAATCTGCAGAACAAACTGTCATTACAAAAATCACTTTCAATTTTCCAGAAATAATTGACATTTGAAGATCTAATAATCTTTACAGAAATTATTTCATTCTGAAACATTTTTCAAAATTTTTAACTTTTGTTGAAACATTACATTATACCAAAGGTATGATCTCTTACCTAATTCAGTCATTCTGTTTATAAACAGATATATTAGTTTTCAATTTTATTATCATAACACGAGATATTTGACAGTTCACATGTGAAAAGTAATAGGAACCACACATAAATAAAAAGTTTTGGATAACGTTTAATAATAACCCATTATAAACCATCACTATATCCCCGATCACTTACCATCTGTCATCCGTTTTCTGTCATCTGTCACATGTCACTTGTCATCAGAAGGTCTTCTATCACCCTTTTTCAATCTCAACCCTTACTTATAATATGGTTTCGTGGTTTCTTCAATTTCCTCATCCTCAGCACACCCCTACACCTTTCGAAGGGTACCTCTATTTTTCTCATGAGACAAAATATATCTATAGGAATAGTCAGTGTTACAACACACCTTCTGAAAAACCATTTATAAAGAGTATTTCCTTGAAACCGACATTTTTCATTCTAATCGAAACATTATTCTAATTAGCAGCAATTTCATTGAAATCGAAAAAAATACGCGACGTACAGTTAATGCATCTAGCAGCGTCAAGCAAGTCGGAGAATTGTGTGTCGGCTCTGCGGTCTCCTGTCAAGGTACGATATATTTCAACAATGAAATCTTAATTTTGAAAAATGCGAACTCTGAAATTACTTGTTGGTCGGGTAATGAAATTGATTCAATGTGATAATTTATATTTTGTTCATGTATGGATGCATTCAGCCAAAATATTTCAAGAAACAATCTTGTGGTTATTACTTTTGATGAAAGAATTGCAAAATTCATTAGTAAAATATTTGGCGAATGAAATTAGATGATTTTCAATATCAATGTATTTCTACCTATGCTTCCGGTATCCTGCACTGTCAATCACGGCAACAAAAGGTTGAATGTAACAATATGTGCGGTCACAGATTTGTTGTTTGGCGATCTCAGAATATTGACCTAAGCATCTTTTACTACTGTCTCAATAACCTTGCATTGTTTGCAATGGGAAAAATATAACCGTAAATTGTTCACAATACAAAAGCGGCTTCTCTTCTAGAAGATTACAATCTCATGTGAGTTCATAAAGGAAGATATACTGAAGTTGTGTACTTGCAGTTATCTCCATATAACAGTAACAACTGTTAGGTTTATACAGAGACACAGGATGTCATAATGTGAGAGAATATGAGTCACAACATTTTCAAGATTGCATTTGATTTCCTTCATTAATGTACAGGGTGGAAAAATGTAAGAGGGCGAACGTCCGGAAATATTGTTTCGTAAATATCCATGTTCACAACAATAACTTGACAAATGGCGAACATCGCAAACAATTGATTTCAACACACAGCACACTAGTTGTTTTCATCCACTTTTCGTTTTAATTTTTTATTTTTTGGGAAACAAAGCGGGCTACGAAAACAAATCAAGGAATAAAAACGTGTTGTTTTTAGATGTTTTGCCCAATACAATATTGAATATTATAAGAAACAGTGGCATACATTCATTCAATAATATTGGTACCGATCTGGAGGTGATTGAAAATGCAAAACAAAGGAGAATTCCATTTCGCTTATTCCATTCACAAACCCACTTATTTGGTCAAAAATTTCTTCCCAGACATCAAATACATTAAGGAAACCTTATATTTAATAATAATTTTGACATTTCGGCGTTTGTGGCATTGAATTGAATCTGTTTACTTTCTGTTAGACTAAAAATACAGTTTCATTGACGATTCCTGTAAGGAAAAAAGTCTTAACATTGGTGACCCCGACAAACTCACGACATGGAAAAAGATGCCTCGATAAATTCACAAACATCCTTGCTGAACAGACCTAGACGAGGAACTGCAGGGATCAACAGGAATCTTGATGATGACTATATCTGGCCTGATAAGTTTAGCATTAGTATTAGCATGAAAAAAAAGAGAACCAGTAATTTCGGATCCTAAACACGACTATACGAAATTACTCATCAATTACTCATCAAACATACCACGAAAAATAAAAAATTTAGACACAGGATGTAGGAGTGAGAACGCTCAACCACTTCCACCACTAATGGAGCAAGTCCCAAGGGAGAGGCACACCCGAGAAATAAGGCCATTCGTCAACGTGGCGATGGATTATTTTGGACAACTTCACGTTAAAATTGGTCGACGAAAAGAGAAGCGTTGGGGAGTCATCTTCACCTGTCTGTCAATAAGAGCTATTCACCAGGAAATTTCACACACTCTCAACAGTAAATCGGCTATCATGGCTGTATTGAGAATGGTAGCGAGAAGAGGGCAGCCGAAGATCATCTTTTGTGATAATGGAACAAATTTTGTTGCTGCTGCGAAAGAACTGAAGACTGCTCTCCAAAACATTAACAGTTCATCTGTTGTGGATGCAATGTTGTCTAGAGGAATTGTCTCTCAAAGAAGAAACTCTACAATTTTTTTTGCTGAAGCTGAGCTTATAGTCAATTCCAGGCTTCCTACCAGAGTATCAAGCGATCCATCCGATCTTGAAGCACTTACACCCAATCATTCTCTTTTTGGTCGTTAAGTGGAGATGGCTCTTGTATACGCCTCAGCCCAGACAACGATTGTCTGGGCAGGGGTAAACGGGGTAAACAGAAGATAACCCAAAAATCTATCCAAGTTATTGATGTTGTTATACTAACTGATAACACTCTACCGAGGTATGCATGGAAGTTGGGGCGCGTAACTGCAACTTACCCAGTTCCTGATAGCAGAGTACGTGTCGTAGATGTGAAAACTTCAAATGCCGAATACAGGCGACCAGTGACAAAAATTTGTTTATTGGATCTAGAGGAAAAATAGTTCCTCTAGCAGTAGGGAGGATGTTGAAACTTGTTATTCAGATTTTATGATTATTCAATTTGTTGCTTGTTTTTATATTTTTTTGCTCACCATATAGTTGTTATAAAAAAAGAAAGAGACTGTCAGAAGTTATTTTGGGAAGGTCATTAAAATTTTGTTAGACTAAAAGTACAGTTTTATTGGCGATTCCTGAAAGGAAAAATAACTAGAGTCTCAACACTGGGGAACATCATCGTTGATGGTAAAAGTATATAATAGATATCCGCCGATGGCCACTCGCAGGAAACGTTTTTTCAGGAAGCTGGAGAACCATAAACATCAATGATTCGACAAGCCATAGCATCGAAATTTGGCCAGCAAACCCTCATGTCACACATGAGGCCTTAGAAATATCAAGCACAACAGTGATCGGAACATTAACATTCATATTTTATTTTACTATTGTCCTGAAATGAATTTATATTATGCCAGTTGTTTTGAAATGTTTAATTTTTCGACTGCGGTTCAGTGAAAGAATAACACTTTGCTAAACTCCGCCACGTAAAATAAAAACCATTTATTATTACTATATATGTTCTATTGGAAAAGTAGATTGTCATTATGTTTTATAAATTCATAGGAACGTGTTCTCATCAATCATTAGTACCTATATTCAATCAATATGTGCTAAAACATGATGAGAATTGATAAACTTGCATTTCACCTGCCATCATGTGGGTAGACAACCAGTTCTTGTGTTGATATGATTTATAGAAAACTGAATTAATTAGAATATTTATTCGCATCAATAATTAAACAGTCTTTCATACCACAATTCTGGAAGTGCATAATAATTTTTATAGATGATTCATATATTACTGTATGTACGAGTAATAAACGACTAGTTTCTGAAAGTTTCATAAATTACTGATATAAAATGGTTTAATCTGCAGAAGGAATTGTATAATGAACATTTTGAATCACTCGTTTGACCTCAAACCAGATGTATATCTATAAATGTATATGTGAAGGAAATTATTTAACAAGTGTCCTCTTTGGAAACTTTTCTCGCCATATTTGTCTTGAATTAATCAAATATGAATCACATATTTATTACAAAACTAGAAGATTACCTTTACATCTCGATAATACCTCCTTAAATGGTCAACTTGATATCGGGGCCATTTCCCTATAACTTAAAATCGTGCTGATTTCATTAAATTGTGCTCAGCAGGAAGAAGAACAGAGATGAAAATGTCAGGTTTTACGTTCCACCACAGATGATATGATCATTCGTGTGAAAATTGATCATTACTCTCCAGTATCAGTGAAGATGACTCTATTTGTACTCTAATTTCTCCACTTTTCATTTTATATCGTTTGCCACACAGTCGGAACACCCAAAAACACTTTTTGCCAACTTCAATTTGAAGTTTGTAAGATACCAATTGCTGCAGTCTGCAGCAGCACTCCGAATAAATCATAATCTGAATGCTGACACCTATTCGAAATCCATATTGTATGGTTTGATTTTATTCATGTCACGTTTAGGTATACAAAAAGACGTCAACAAGAGAGACAGAGATATCTACTTTCAGTAATGTCATACTCAGAATCGGTTGGCGCCCTCTGTGTATATGCTTGAATGGACGGATACAACAGATGGTAGCATTGCCTTAACTTTGAACCGAGTCCGTTTCCAAGTGTGAAAGAAACATTTTTAGAGGAGTTTTTCTGTGCTTGGCTTCGCCTAAGAACACACAGTGGTTATTAGAAAAAAAAATTTTTGAGAATCGGGGTAAATTCTAACTTTTGAGGTATTTATGGATATCAACTGGAAAGCGGATTACGTAAGTGATGAAATCGATCGGTACTAGATGAAAATTCGTTACGTTTTCAAGAGAAACTTCATTGTGAGAGATAAACAAGACGTGTTTCGTCATATAATAGCTTCTTCAGGCGTATATAACGAAACATGTGTTGCGTTTTTGTAAAATGTTTAGTGAAAATCTCACGGATTATATAAAATCATATTTTGAAATTGTCAATTTCAACTAATCCAATCGTTGAGTTATGAGGATATTTTCACAACAGTTGTTTTATATTATAGTTTTGACAGGTAAAATCATAAAAACAGCTAAAAGCATAAAAACAACTGAAAACATGAAAACAGGAATTAATTGAATGAATTTGTCGCAACGAGGTCATTGAGTATACACTCGACAATAACGAACGTGTAGTACATTGAATATTCAGAGGTAAACAATAATTGTTCGACTATCATCATAGTGGCTTGCTAAGGTAGTCAGCTTCATACTTTGTCTTAGATATCACGTTGTCCTCTACTGGCACATCAGGAGTTCCACAAGGATCCTATTTGTGTCCTTTGTTGTTCTTTATCTTCATTAATGTAATCAAGAAATGGTTCAGATTTTCACACAACAAATTCTCACTTCGTAATCCTTGTATTATATACTTACAAAAGTGTATGTTGTCACTTTATTACTAAATATGTGCAGTACTTTTTGGAACAGGGTGTACACATTTACGTGTCCAATATAGATAAACATGCAGTTTCTTGAGAAAAACTTCATATTCAAATGTTCAAAGTCAATCTACCCAATTCCAATTAGTCAAATTCATGGTCAATGTTTATTGGTAATATTAGTAGTAAAAGACATTCCATATGCACCATACTTGTAGCTGTGAAAAACCTGGTCTATCAGGAATGGCAGAGCAAAACCGTCTGTAATTGAATCGAATAAGTTTATTCCATTGAACAACTTTGAGATAGTTTCGAATTCAACTTTTGATTGTCATTTCATTTTTTGCAGAGACTTTTCAAAACTTCACAAAGACGACGTTTACCACAACAACGAACTAGCTTTTAGAGTTGCAGAACATCACCTAGGCATTCCAGCCCTTCTTGAACCAGAAGATATGGTTGAATACTCAGTTCCTGATCGTCTATCAATCCTGACATATTTATCACAATTCTATCAAGCTTTTGCAGTACCTCAAGGTAAGCAGACTTCATTTATTTGTACATATCGAGAAAAACTTGAACTTTCATGTAAAATTGTTTTCCAATTTGTCTTATCAACTATTACATTACAAAATATAATGTGATAGTCAATAAGAAATGAAAATTAATAATAATTATGTATTTATCAACAAATAATAAACTTTATAAGACGTGTTTTCGACAAGGACTACAGGTTGACCTTGAAACTATGTTCTTATCGCCCACTCTCAGTAAATATACAATGCCGTTTCTGGACCAAAATCTCATGCTTTTTCTTATGGCGCTCCTTTTCTGTCATTTTCAACCATTTCAAGATTATTCGAACTGGTCGGCGAGGAAGGAAGAGGAATCAGGTTTTTAGAGTTTGGTAGAACCACACTTTCACCATCTGACCTCAAAGATCACTCACCATAAGAACCAATCGGTTTCGTCAAGAAGCTGGGTTTATTTGGTCGAGTTTGAAAAGGTGTGAGCCACAATAAACCCTTGCGGGTTGCCGTGAAGGATCGAAAAAGCCCAGTCCCTATTGACCTAACCTAACCTCAGCATTTATACCAAAGGCTGACGTGTCAGAAAGGTACTAAGCCGTATCTTCGTTGACAATAGTCGAATCGCCGCATGCAGCACATCAAATGAAAGGAAAAGGAATGCAGAACTTATTGATAAATTGAAAAACTAAAACGGCGGCCAGTTTTTCTTCCATACCAATAAACTCGGCATTCCTTTTTGTTTCATTTGATGTGATATCTCAACACCAAACCGTTATTTTTACCACTTCGACACGTGTTTCAATCACCAAGTGATCATCTTCTTCATCCCCGAGTTCAATTTTATCTAATACGACCACCCATATGATATTTCCTCACTTCATCCTAATGGATGAGGACCTTTTTCGCCGTCCAGGTCGAGTGACCTTGAAATGATTGAAAATTACTAAAATGAAGCATGTTGTTTTGGTCCAGAAGCGGCATTGTATATCTACTAATCTCCGACCTCTTTCTCGAAAACGATTCAACTTATGAAAAAAAAATTTATACAAAAGTTGGAAGGAATTTAATCCTTTACAATATTGATGATGAATAAAAATAGCGAAAAACCCATAGGAAACGAGGTATTTGCAAAAAATTTGCAATAAACCGATTTTTGTGACCTTTGACCTTCGATTTCATTAGTGTCGTACACCCTACCATATGTAGGTTCTGGGACAACTTTTATGATGTCAAAATACAAGTTTATAGCTGGGCATCTTCAATTCCGTGGTGAACTTGCTATTATTACTGGACTATAAGCCGATTATTTTCGTTGCGCAAATGTATTGTGACTATACTTATCGATGTCGAATGAAGTATTGTGTGAAAACGATTGACACACTTCCAAAGATAGTCACGTACTCGAACGAACCATTAGGGTACGCCCGGTATGTGCTCGAAAATGGCAATTTAAAGACAGTGATGATGCTGGGTTTCGTAACAGCAATAAATCTCAGATAGCGAAGATTTGCCAAGATTTGTTTTAAGTAACGAGCTTGTTAGGTAATTTTGCAGCGGTTTGCACTGGGAAATATTTATTCATGGTTGCCGGGTCTTTCAAATGCTGTTGGAATCATTTAATGACCGAAATTAAATGAAATGTAGAAGTTATATCGAAGAACGAGTGCAGTAGTGTTTTCCTGAATGAAAATATTTCAGAGAAAATATTTCTGCAAAATATTGTCACAAAACACTATCAACCTGCTTTGAAGGATTTCAGTGTATTTAGCCTTCTGGTTAGTTGCAAATCACTTCAAGATTAAATTTATATTCATTAATATAACAAAAAACTACTCAAATGGTGGTAGTTTTTGTTCGTTTCAGTAGACATTTATACTCAATTTCTGCAGTCAAGAGAGCCAGAGCAAAAAGGCAATAGAAAACCCATTCAACTGAGCTGACAATAAGCTTTCAATTACAATTTAGGGGTTGTAACTATTGAGCTTAATCATAAAATGTTTGCGTTGGAGGATATAACTACAAAATATAGAATTGACCCATCTTTTTCATTTTAATATTATCAATTATCATGTAAATATCGAAAATGTGCAAATATAAATCGTATATGTCACAGAATTCATACAATAGTTATATTATTATGTTGTTTTTATGATACAATATTCATAATGTTCATGTTCACCTAAAGTTTTCTTTCTGTGATCAATAATGCATTGGGAAGTAAAGGGTTCATTTTTAGGCCAAACGGCATTCAGCAAAATCTGAATGCACCGTGCCTACTAAATTTCAACTACGAGGTGGGCTAAAACGTTGGTAGGCTAACACACAGATGACGCTACTAGTATTGAATCAATTAGATTTTTAGTTAACCCTATCCTTCAAAACAAATGTGTACAAAGTTCACAGCTGTTGGACTATTAGTTTCTGGGACTAGAACATTTTGAGTGAAGCCAGTTTTGTTAATCTCAAAAAAATAGGTAAAAAGGAATTTTGTGTGTTGACGGAGCAATGCCTTTTGGCGAAAAAAATACTGTTGAAGGCTTTGCTTGATAAACATTGACTTTGCAGTATGAAAATCAATCGTTGAGAAGTGGTTTGCTAGTGAGTTTTTCGTGAGCTTTATTCTCAGTAGAAATGTATTTAGTAGTTACTTTTAATTTGTAGTAGTAGTTACTTTTAAAATAATATTCATTTCCCCAACTATTTAGAGATAAATATATAAATACTATAAAAGCAAACACATAAATTAAACTTTTCAACTGAATAATTCATGTACTCTCGGTGAAGAACCATTGTTCTTCAATTGATATAGTTAGGTCTTTCAGCGTCGATAACTCAGCCACAGATCTACTGAATAAGTCTTTGTTCGTTTTCACATCTATCACTCAGATATAACCATCTTCCACTTGATGAGCTTCAGTGATAATTTCTTTGGGTCAGATGTTTTCAAAAACTGGAAGTCGCCAACCTTGACTTCTTTTTATAATGAGTCAATTTTCCTGTATTCGTCAAAATAGTCCAGTTGAAAATAGTATAATCTGACTATGGTGAAGGTCGAACAAATATGGTTAGATGACAATTTGGTAATAATATCTGTAGTAGTTCTGATTTCATTATCTTCATCTGTTCCAACAATTGTCTTTGTTCACTTAGGACATTCTCTTGGTCCCCATACGCTGCCTTGTGGTAAAAAATTTGCAATTTTGTGACGTCATTTTTGGTTCAAAAATTATTGGTTATTTTGCATCGCCAGCCAACCAAGAATAGGTCATCTCTATGAAACGTGTGTTACAATGAAATAGCTGAAGAAGTAGGTATGAAATGTGAAACAAGATTTATAGTTTGTAAACTATTACATTAGTTTTTTATTTCATTAGTATTTTTCATACTCTCATCATTAATTTCCATCTGCCTAAACCACCAGGTGTTCACCTGTCCCGTGGAGCAACATTTTCTTTTGTCGTTACTCAATCATCTATTTCAAGAAAGTCTGAAAGGTAAATTTCTACCTCATCGGCCAAATTTCGTAATATTCAACTCATGATTTCACTCTTCCAGATCTGTATATAGATATATGACGTTAAATCAAAACATGCCCAGTCTATATATCATTTATTGACAGGCAGTACCCAATCATCTTCACTTTCGCAGCCGTAATTTTTATGTTACGTATCGAGCAAAATTTCTAAATGATTATACGTTCATAGTTTCATTTTGATGGGCTTGATTAAACGGCATTCAATCTTTACTTTCTAATTACAATAATATATCGTTTGCCAATCCTTTGATCATATCAGTTCTCGCAGAGATTATTAGATAGACATTATCGGGTTAATCTGTTGCTGGATCTCGGGAAGGAAAAGTTATAATGGGTTAATTTTACTCGTGTTCAAAACGATCTTTTTCGATTTTTGTTTCATTTTCTACGGATGGCACTACGAACCATATTTATGGAAATAATGGTCAACTCGATGGTTATATTTATTTTAATCGTCCGATTAAATTAGCCAACCTGTACCTTATTTATTACAGAGAATAAGGTTAGGTTGAGTTAGGTTCGACCCTCCGCTGCGAGTTTGCAAGCCAAAATATTCCACTACAAAAAAAAACAATGGAATTGATTGTTGTAGATCACGATTTATTTGTTTCAAAAATTATTCAGAAACCTGCGCTTGCTCTTAACCTGTTACTGTATCGATGGTAACCCAGTCATGATTGTAAAGTACCTAACAAAGACCAAATTTCCTGAGCCTCAATATAATTTTTTGCAAAATCACCAATCCGGTGTACGTCAGTGAAGTTCGGGCATGTTATTAAAGAACTGGATTATAAGACAAGTATATGCATGCATATACTTGTCTTATAATGCATCAAAACTAACATGAATAATGAGATCGTGATTGGCAATAAAATTAACGAAGTTAGACAAAATCAAGATAAGATCTGAGAATTATGCCGAACCCCTTTCAATAAAATAATTTTAATTAACCTCCTGACCCCAGTATGAATTGTCTGTGAATTTGTTTGAGTCGAATTGAAAGGCGACCAGGGGAAATTAATGATTACATTAATTACAATCATTGGTACTGGTAGAGGTGTACATATATTTATCCAAGGATTTTTAGAGGAGTTGTGTACACGTATTCAATGATCTTCGACCTTTTGTGAATTCGTGACCATCTTAACATTGAGCATTGAAAGAAGTACTTGCTGTTATGGGCCATTCACAACGGTTTTCCCCTGTAATTCACAATATCCACATATAACACTGAAAACTGCGGGTATTTACATTGTACAAAGCGCCGATACCTTCATCAAAGTGGAATGACCATTAATATTCGAAGCTTTATGGGACGACACCAGAAAACCTCACAACCTTCTTCACAAGTGACAAATATCTCCAATGAAGAGGAATGCAAGAGTTTAGGATTCTTTACAATCAACACAGTATTAGAATTGAAAAAAAAAAGACAAATAGAAATTCAATTCATAAAGCTTGTTACTGGGATA